AGCTCGAATTCTGGGCAAAGAAGCACTTCGTTTTGGTCAAAATAGGTGAACAAGATATTTTGTACGCATCGAAACAAAAATTACCAGTTGTGACATTTGAAAATTTATTTAAAAAAATCGATGAGTGCCATACAGCTGTTGGGCACTTGGGCAGAGACAAAACGTGGCATAAAGTAAGCTCCGATGCGAAAGCGACTTCCTTGAACTATTTCTTTGTCTCTTATTTAAGGTAAGTCATTCGTTATTCTTTCATACCAGCAAAACCAGTGGTTGGGAAGCCAATAATATCAGTTGGGTTTATGACAAGAATGCAAATTGACTTAGTCGATATGAGAAGTGTTGAATACAATGGTTTCAAATGGATATTTCATGCAAAAGATCATTTTTCAAAATATTCTTGGCTTGATCCATTACCTTCAAAAGAGGCAATTAATGTTGCTGAAACGTTAAAATCTAGTTTTTATCAATTCGGACCGCCAAGAATATTACAGTCGGACAATGGCCGTGAATTCGTGGCAAAAGTGATTCTCGATTTAACAAAACTATGGCCGGGATTACTGATAATCAATGGAAGATCAAGACCTCCTCAGTCTCAAGGGCTGGCCGAACGAGGCACCGCGGTCGTACAGCAATTACTAGGCAAATAGTTAGATACAAATGTTACTAATGATTAGCCATCAGGATTGGGTCCTATTATGTTTTCTATAAATACAAGCGTAGCCCGAACCATTAATCAATCTCCATTCGAAGTTGTTTTCGGACAATAACCACGTACGAACGACTACACTTGGAAATGCATCGTAGTTCATTTAACTGAAGATCCATTGATTGATCCACCAACAAACAATTCTAATGAAGAACCAATATGTAGCAATATAGTATCAACAACAACTCCTCAAGATCGACAAATACAGAATAATGAAGAAGAAATACGTTCAGATTCTAACATCGATCATGAAGAATTTATCGATTCAACCAACTGCGTATCTGGTGTAGTTGAATCAAAAGATGAACCCGTTGGTGCTAATCGTCACAAACGAATTCGTGAAAATGCTGAAGAATGCTATTTGAACAATGCTAATTCACAACTTACTAGATATATAAACAAGTCCTCTAAACGACAACGAATTTATCATGTTGGCGATATTGTTGACTTGAAGGTATCCGATGTCAATCGTACAAATACCTCTTCGACGATACTTCCATGTAAAATTGTTGATTCCAAGTGTCAAGATGGTGAAACTTTTTATAATGTTGCAACCATGAACGGTATCATAAAAGAAAGTTTCCAATCAACAGTTTTTCTAGATCTTACAGCATCCAATTTTACAACATTACGAACTCTCAACACCGATTCATTATCATGTGTTACGTTTATTCAAGCATGTCAGATTTATACTAATTTCAAATCGGCTGATACATGTAAATGTAATGGTGATTGCAGTATAAATCGATGCAAATGCAAAAAAAAAGGTCGAAAATGTTATTCTAAATGTCATGGTGGCGATGGTTTCATATGCAAAATTTGTTAATTAAATTTTTTCTTTTTCTTCGTTCAAGATTATTGTTTTTGTGTCATTTTCTTTCCGTTCTCTCTTATATCTTCATTCCATTAAATGGAAAGAAAAAGAAGATGTATACCTTCGCTATTTTGCATCCCATGTAATACATATACCTACTCAAATAGCTTTGGTGAAACCTTAAATGTACCGTCAGCAAATAATAGATCTGAACTATATAAGACATTTAACTGTTCATCAAAAGCAAAAATATCATCAGACGACCTCCATAAATACTTTTTCGCTTGACATAAATAAGAAATTTTTAATTCTGTGATATTGATGGTAATGATTTTCTTCGTAATTTATGTAGACCAGATTCTAATGAATAAGAAATTAGAAGGCGGAATTACATTACTGAAAAATAATTTATTTATGCACCTATTTGAGTCAGAAGAGGCATCATTCGTTTTTCTTCGACTGATAGATTTGCTTTCCTATATTCTTCTTCAATTATGATTTCGATTGATGTATATTCATCAAGAACACGATGTTTAATTTTGTTTAGTATATCACGTTTTCGTGTTTTACGTGCATCATATGGATGGCAATGAAATATGCCGTTCCAGTGACTGAATTGTTCTGTTTGTTTCGAGATATGAATAACGACATTGCCATTCTCATTTCTTCGAGTACACCGCCAACCCGCTTTTTCTTTTGCCATACTCATATAAAGATACACAAAGCTATTCATGAAAACCATTTTTTCATCTCGTGTTGGTGTACCCGTTGTTTAATGAATTTAATGATATGATAGAATCATTATCATCATTCTTTGTTGGTGATGATGTTGTTGGAGAAATTGAACCCATTATTGGCATTGAAGATGTTGGTTTAACTGTTGCATCGTCTTTTTTTAATATCACATCTTCATGAAGTTGTTTATGAAAACCTACCGGTGTAAGTACAACATCTAAAGATATAATCTGTTGTACTTGAGCTTGTTTACGTTTCTGCTTTGCTGAGCATTTACGAGTTCTTTTGCCGGTTGATGTTGAAGTTGGTGTTGCTTGATCTTGTGAATGAATTAAATTTGCATTAGCTTTCGATCTTAATGCTGCTGCACGAGTAGTAACAGGTAATTGATTAACCATAGCTATCTGACAACCTTGAAGTCATATCATATATACTAAAATTTTTACCTATGTATTGATATGAACAGATGTTCAATATGTTATAATTCATATTTATTAACACACAAATGATATTAGACTTATTTCAAATAAATCTAAAACTACAAATAAAAATTTCGATCTTGTCATTTCCAATGGATATTCGCCCATTGGCTAATGTGAGGACAGTAAACTGGTGAAAGATCAATGGACACTCGCCAATAGGCGAAAGTCTAAATTCCGAAAGTTTTATCGGGGAACTTCCAATAACCCGAAAGAGGATTGCATACATAAAATGGCTATTTTGTAAGAGTAAATAAAGTAAACGCTGAAATTTCTCCTTCATGACAAAATAATATTCCATGCAATTCTATATTTTAAAGG